TAATCACATCTATATCAATCAAAGCTTTAGCTCATCTTCCTAGCGCGAGTTATTTACTCTTAAAAACAATTACTATTAATTATTCGAGAGAAAAAGAAGAAAAAAATATTTTACCAAAATGGAAAGTAAAGAACAGAATATAAAGAAATTCGGCATAATGTTTTCATGCTCTTTTCATGATTCTTAGATGACAGAACAATTGAAAAGTCAGAGCTAAGGATGAGTGGTATCTAGACAGGTTAAAATCCCACAATTGCTAAAACAATTACAGATGACAAACAATGAAAATCAAAGTTCAACAACCGTATGATTAAATGAATCAAACAATCCTTCCCTAGATCTCTACTAAAGCGAGGAAATTTTGCCCCAAAAAAGAAAATGCCCAAAACATAATTTCTAACCCTAATGAAGTAAACACAACCACACAGACCGGTAAGAATTGATAAAAAAACAGGCAGATTAATTAACTCAATTACTTTCTGGTAATAGAAAATAGTGAACTACGACCAAAAGACCCAAAAATAAAATCCCTAGCGTCGAATCAAAATAACCTCTTTCAAAGTCAGCAATTTTGTTTTTCCGAAATCACTTCTTCTGGAAAATCTTGCTTTTGAGCTTAATCCAGTTGACGCCGACGATGGCGCCGTGCTTGACTTTCTGAGCCGCCACTTTGGTTTTCTCAAAGCCGATGGAAGCCGCCGACTTGGTTTTCGTGAAGCCGACGGAAGCCACCTTCTTACTCTGGCTGAACTTCTCGCTTAATCTCTTCGTCAGCTTGGGCTTGTCGGCTCCGTTATCTTTGGAATCCATTGGCGATGTTATCTTCTACGGATTTTGGATTTTCAGAATATAATTGGGTTTTTTCTTCGTTGTTTGGGGGGTTTTAATTATATTGGGAGTCCGAATGAGAAAGGGTCATGTGCGTGGGCAGCTCAACTCTGTGGGGTCGTGCGTGTCTTTATTGGCGTCATTGCCGTGTTTTATAGTCTTTAGGAATTTTGAATTAGCCGTGTTTCACGAATTGGGATTGTGGTCTTCACGGGTGTTAAAAAATATTGCGAAAATTACGGTTTAACTTTAAACTGTCTTTTATCGGTCAACGCTCAAATTCAGGCCAATTATTCTATTCACATGTTGCATACAAAAGAGATACTCATACTCCTCACTCTCAAAATATAAAATACATGTCGTGGGTGACATTTCTTTTTACAAATTAATTCTCGGATATATTTTATTGATAATTATCTTAGAGCATCTTTTAACGGTAAGATTTTTAAAGGTTTAAAAACCCGAACCTCTCAATTTTATTATTAAAGTGATGAGGTTTGAGGTTTGAGTTTTCACAACAGGTTTACAAAACCAAACCTCTTGAAAACTTTTGGCCCACTGACAATCCTGACACTTCTTTATTTTTTTAATATGTTCCGTAAAAAAAAGTTGGCCTGCACATGCCACTCAAATTTTCTAAAATTACCTATATATGTTAAAAAGTGAGACATGAAGGAGTGTCAGGCCATATTGAAGATCAACTCTCTGAATCCTGACAAAGAAGACAGAATGTACTGGGGCTGGGATAGCAAAGGAAAATTTTCAGTCTCCTCCTCTTACTCTTACCTCATTGACCAGAAGCTACAAAAAATGGATATTCCACAATGTAGCAGCACCTATCAGTCTGTCATCAAAGCAAGGGAGAGGACTTGGAAATTGAAGGTGCCTCAGAAACTTAAACACTTCTTACGGAAGTGTTGCTCTAACATTCTACCTGTCAAAGCCAATTTATTGAAGAAAGGAATCCACCTGGATCCCATATGTCAAGCCTGTGGTGATGGAACTGAAACTGTGAACCATGTTTTCTTCCAATGCTCCAAAGCTAAAGCCCTCTGGGACATTTGCCCGGTGCTGTGGGATGGCCTCTGTACAGCTGAATTCAATTTTAAAACTTGGTGGTGGCAGGTGTGCACTATCCCAAAATCTGAAGTGGCTGAGGCTCGCATCCAACTCACAACTTACTTATTATGGTGGTTATGGAAGTCCCGCAACTTATGGATTTTTCAAAAGACTCAAATGCCAGTTACAGCAGTAATGAAGGCAACCATGAGGGAATGGAAGGAATTTTCAGCTATTTCTTAGAATTTCTCTCCGTGGTTTTACTATTATTAGTTTGTGTCAGTTGGTTTTGGCGCTTGTTTCTAGCTTTCTTTTTCTGTTTCCTGGAAATGTACTTGCTGTACTAGGCATTGGCAGTGGCATGGTAGGTTGTTTCTTTTTCTTTGCTTTTTATTTTCTATATCCCGTCTGTGGGATTTCTAGGCCGCTTCTTAGCGTGTCCTCTCATTTTTTCCTTATTCGGCTGTTGGCCTCGTCTGTATTTGAACTTGGTTCCCTTTGAGTAATGGTATATCATCTCTTTCGTTTCGAAAAAAAAAAATTAGAGATATATTTGTTTAATAATTCCTTTAACCCGTTTTGTCTAATATTTTTTGCTTGTAAAATTCAACTATTTTTGTTAAAATCTGATATCCCAAATTTTATTTATATGATTCTCTTTAATATTTAGAAAAATAATAATTTAAAACGGGCTATTTTAGAACAAGAACGAACACTAACAAACTTTGTTAGTAAAAGAAAAAAGTAAATCAAGGTTGTTTGATTTAAAATAAATGGAGTTACTCGACAGCCCGAAAAAAATATCTAAAGCAATTAATTGAAATAAGAACGAGTTGTAGTTGTTGTCGAAAAATAACAATTTAAGACGAGCTATTTTCGAACAAGAACGAACACTAACAAACTTTGCTAGTAAAAGAAAGAAGTAAATCAAGGTTGTTTGATTTAAAATAAATGGAGTTACTCGACAGCCCGAAAAAAATAGCTAAAGCAATTAATTGAAATAAGAACGAGTTGTAGTTGTTGTCAAAAAATAACAATTTTAGACGAGCTATTTTCAAACAAGAACGAACACTAACAAACTTTGCTAGTAAAAGAAAGAAGTAAATCAAGGTTATTTGATTTAAAATAAATGGAGTTACTCGATAGCCCGAAAAAATATGTAAAGCAATTAATTGAAATAAGAACGAGTTGTGGTTGTTGTCGAAAAATAACAATTTAAAACGAGCTATTTTCGAACAAGAACGAACACTAATAAACTTTGCTAGTAAAGAAATAAGTAAATCAAGGTTGTTTGATTTAAAATAAATGGAGTTACTCGACAGCCCGAAAAAAATATGTAAAGCAATTAATTGAAATAAGAACGAGTTGTAGTTGTTGTCGAAAAATAATAATTTAAAAACAAGCTATTTTCGAATAAGAACGAACACTAACAAACTTTGCTAGTAAAAGAAAGAAGTAAATCAAGGTTGTTTGATTTAAAATAAATGGAGTTACTCGACAGCCCGAAAAAAATA